CAACTACCTAGCCAAGTCTACCATCTCTTTCAACTTGACTACTTCTTCTTTTATTTTTATTTATTTATTTAGGCAGTTGGGGTTAAGTGACTTGCCCAGAGTCACACAGCTAGCAAGCATCAAGTGTTTGGTCTGAGGCCGGATTTGAACTCAGGTCCTCCTGACTTCAGGGCCGGTGCTCTATCCACTGTGCTACCTAGCTGCCCCTCAGCTTGACTTCTGTGATAAGTAGGAGTAATGCTGTGAGTTTGAGGTACAAGAACAGGTTTGGAGACTTGAGTTAGGAGAAGATTTGGAATAGTTGGTGTTGTGAAGAATAGATGTCAATGTGTAATTAAAGGATTTCTGAGCACAGTAAGGACCCACTTAAGATTGTATACTATATAGCAGCAGCTCCCAAACTTTTTGGTCTCAGGACCTTTACATTCTTAAAAATTATTGAGTACCCCAAGGAGCTTTTATCTGGATGGGTTATAGCTATCAATATTTGCTATATTAGCAATTCAGACCGAGAAATGTTTTAAATATTAATTCATTCAAAATAGTAATAATCCCCCATTACATATTAGCACAAATAGCATCTTAAACAAAAAATATTTAGCAAGAAGAGTGGCATTCTTTTATATATTTTTGCAAGTCTCTTTAATGTCTGGATTAATAGAAGACAGTGGGATCTGCTTTTGCAGCCAGTCTGCTACTATGTGTTGTTTTGGTTGAAACCCCAGTTAGGTAAATGGAAAGAAGATCGTTAGATGGAAAGAGGAACAGTACTTTAATAAACAAATTTTATCTTAATATCATCATGACAGTAATATTGACACCATGGATCTCCTGTGTCAGGACCACACTTGGAGAATTACTGTCATAGAGTAGATATTTTGGTAGATGGTTTTAAAGCATAATTTCTTTACTTTCTCCAGGAATGCACAACAGCAAGGGTGAAAAGAAGGAACCAGATGGGGACTAGTTAAAATGTCAGATTAGCACTGTAGAAATGTTGTGATCAAGTGAAGATGGATGTATCACTTGAATAACACTGAGTCTAGACTACGTAGAGAGGCAAAGGAAGCCATTGTGGGATCAGGGAGTCAGAGGGCATTCTCTGCCCGCAAGGTCCTAACAAGAACAAGGGCAAGTTTAGCGTTAGTGATAGAGTAAGGGGGCAGAACGATAGGAGATAATAGTCACTGGGAAGAATTTCAGAGATCAAGCTTTTAGAGGTAGTACAATTCGCAGCGATGTTAAGGTCTAATGGTTGATTGTTGAATTAGGATGGAAAAGGGGGTTGTTGAAGAGAACATCCATAGGTAGGACTTGTGGTTATTAAAGTCCATAACATAATGACAGAGAAGAAAACTGTGAGCCAGGTACTCTGGTAATTGAGCAAGGAAAAGAATAACCTGAGTTTGGAAGACCGTAAGCAAAAGGAAAATGGAGAAGGCTATATATTTTGATTCTATGAACTTTGAAGGAGGAAAGGTGATTGAGAATGGAAGATGGGAAAGAAAAGAACTTGTAGATGCTGTCAGAAATGAAGCATATATCAACTCCTCCACTAGCCCAGTGATTTGGGGAGGTATGTAACATACAGGGACACCTACCCCAATTTTAGCATAGTGAGCATTCCAGCATGAGTTATTCTTTTTAAAGTTATTTTGTGAGTCTGCATCCATCTAAAACCATAACTCAGTGAGCCCTTAAATACTAGTCAGTCAGTCACTAAGCAGTTATTTAGTATTTACTATGTGCCGGGCACTGTGCTAAGCACTAGAGATACAAAGAAAGCAAAACCAGTCCCTGCCCTCAAGGAACTTACATTCTAATAAAGGAAATAATATGTAAATAACTAGATACATCAAAGAGGGGAAGGCACGAGCAGCTAGGAGAGACTAGGAAAGACCTCCTGAATAAAGTAGGTTTGGAACTGCCTTGAAGGAAACTTGGAAAACTAAGGCAGAGGTAAGGGGCAGAGCCTTCCAGGTATGGGAGACAGACAGTGAAGAGAGATGGATTATCATGTGTGAAGAACGTTAAGTAGGTCTGTGTGGAAGGGAGTAAGTGTAAGAAGACTGAAAAGAGAGGAAAGGGCCAGATTGTAAAAAGCTTTAAATGACAGAGTACTTTATATTTGATCCCAGAGGTAATAGGAAGCCACTGGAATTCACTGACTCTGTGTGTGTGTGTGTGTGTGTGTGTGTGTGTGTGTGTTGGGGTGGGGGGGGTGCGGTGACATCATTAAAACTATGCTTTAGGAAAATCATTTTGGCAGCTGAGTGAAAGATGGATTTGAGTTGTCAACACAAAGAAACTTAATGGAATAACATAGTAAGAAAAGTAGCAATAAAGAATTTCCCCACGACCTGAAACAACTTTTTACACCATCAATAAGAAGAATGGAAACATATAGGTACACGTGTGTGTACACAAGTAGAGAACATGTGCATGAAAGGGCACATACATAGGAAATATATGAGGCCCCAGCATACAAATAGGGAACACATGGGGCCAAGGCACGTACGTGGATGTGGACTACTTACTGCTCCAGTTACAGAGTTGATATCTTCTGATGATGTCATGTTGTTCCTCATTGGTTTTGTGTGGCATGCAGTCTCTGCCAGGTATATAATCTCTGCTGGGCATTAGCTCTGCTAGTCTCATGTGGTAGCTTCTTGACATTGCTTCAGTAGTCCATAGCCACTGCCGTTCACTGTCAAGCATTTGACTCAAGGCCTGAGGCTGTGGAGCTAATTTCTGCTTCTGACTGGCCAAAGCTAAAATCATCAGTGGTGGGGGAAGTGGGCTCTACAGTTGTTCATTTAGCTTGGCTACATCCCAGAGATTTTTCTGCAAATAGCTTTAAGGAAAAGGGCCCTAAGCCCAAACACACCCAGTTAGCAGATTAGGGAAAACCTTTTCAGCTTTTCTTCCATAAGGAAGCCTCTCTTTTCTCTAGGCCCTATATGGACTATGTGTATCAGAGGCCAAGCTCTTTGGAACACACAACTATAGAAGAGAGCCATGAAGCCTACATCTGTCTTTTCACCTGTATTTCCTATTCGCCAAAGACAGGCTGTCTCTCAGAGGCTTTACTCTGGCTTAGAGTTAGCCCAGGAACCAGGCTGGCAGCTCTTTGCAGGGTTTCAGCTCTCCTTGAAAGTTATGGAAAAGAATGGCTTCCTTCCACTAGAGAAGTTAAAAGGGATATGAGATTACCAGAAGAGAGGCCAAATTTCAGTTAAATCTAGGAGTGAAGAGAAATGCTCAGTGAAAAATTCGAGGATATGGAGTAATTTTTCTAGAAAAGCACAGGGGTTCCTTAACAGTACAGTAGAGGGGCAGCCAGGTTGCATGGTGGTTAGAGCACTGGCCTTGGAGTCAGGAGGACCTGAGTTCAAATCTGGTCTCAGACTTGATACTTACTAGCTGTGTGACCCTGGGCAAGTCACTTAACCCTGATTTCCTCGCCTGAAAAAAAAAAGAGTACAGTAAAATGAGCTTAAGGAAGAAGTAAGGTTGAGCTGAATAGTGATGAGGGTACCAGAAAGAGGTAATAAAGGGGGAAAAGGTGGTTAAATAGGATAAGAGGTATGTGAGAATAAGTAAATTGGGAGGTAGATTAGAGTGTCATGCTGTTAATGGAGGGGTGACATTAGAGAACAAAGAAGCGTCAAGAATTAAGTGGCCGTCCAAGTTCTAATCATAACCTGGAACACTGGTGTTTGAGGGTGTGACCTCACAGACCCCTTAGACCATTCTTTGGATTTGGCTGATGGCATCTGTTCAGCTTCCGGAGCTCTCTGAAAGGTGCTCTCTATTTAGGGCCTCTGGGTGGAAGGAAGAGTACAGAAATGCAGTCTTTAACATGTCTCTTCCTTTGGAGCCATGGCTGGGTAAAGGGCTAAAGGAGGGAACAAATTTGCTGTTGTTTATACTTCCCTACTTAAGAACAGCATCAGCTACTTCAGAGACCAGTGGCTAGCACTCAAGTTCAGTTTTCTGCTTTAACCAGGCATAAATATAATTCAGGAAGAAAAATCTGGGAATTGGGGGTGGGGTGGGGCGCTGGATTCTTCTTTCCTTAGAGTGCGTTGTAATTCTTTTTAAAGCTTTTAAGCTGAGAATTTGGCATCTGCAACTTGGAATTATGTCATATAGCTGTGGAGTCAAACTCAAATAGAGTTTGTATACTTAAAGATACCTGTTGGCAGCATATTGGCTTTGAAAGCCACATATTAACATTATCACTATTGTATTATATTTTTATATATTTTGTTAAACATTTCTCAATAACATTTTCATCTGGTTTGGCTGCCCTCCAGAGGAGCGCTGTGTGTTTGACACACCTCTGTTATGTAGCCTGGCACCTGGAGAGAGAGAGCTGGTCTTGGTGTCAGGATGGTCTGTTTCAAGTCCTGCTTCTGACATACCTTGGCTGTATGACCATGGTCAAATCACTTAACCTTTCTGACCGAGGGAGCTCTCTATGACTATCAGTTTTGCAGAGTAAGTTCTGATTTGTGTTGGTAGAAGTGCCACACTAAGTAGTCTTATACACCAATAAAATCACAGGTCTAGCCAAAAAAGGGAAAATTTAGAATTACCGTACTTTTAATCTTCAAAGCACTTGTACTAATTGAACAATACTATCGGCTTAATAATTAATAACCTATATCATTTTAAGAATCTTCAGAGATTTAGAAAACATTTTATGGTAAAGGTCATCCAGTTACTCTGATTTATTGATAATACATTTTTATAATAGTTCTGAACAGTTTATTTTGGAGACTTAGGAAGGATAATAAAGGAAAAGTTAATGGAAGTCTCCAGTATTACATCTCCTTTCTCTGCTTAGTTCTGCAAATGTCAAAGCCCCAAAAGCTACTCCACAACACTGCATTCTAAGAAGAAAATTAGTAGGAATTTAAGTTTCAAGTTTCCTGAGTATTTAGGAAAGAATAATGTCTGATTTAAACTTGTTCATTTATTTTTTTTTCCTTTAGAATTGAAAAAACTCAGGCTGCTGAAGTCATCCAGAGAGCTTGGTTTTCTCACATGGATAAAATAATATTTCAGCTCTTAAAACACACAATTTGTGCAGCGGTATGTGCCAGTTCTTGCCCCTCACTGTTAGACTTCCTAATGATTACACTTCAGAGATATGTTTATTGAGGATATTCATTGTCTCCTACTTTCTACCAACGTGATCTAGAAGCGTAGGATTTTGAGTTTGTCTCTTTAGAGACTTCTGATATAAATGTATACATATATTTATTGCTAGTTGCTATTTGTTCCTAAAAGAATACTGAGTTTTTAATAAGTTGTAACCATATTTATTTTTAAACCCCATTCCAAAGGAAATGTGAGACAGCTACAACATAACCAATAGAAAATACTGATAGCTTCAGAATATGGTATTGAAGTCTGAAGTATGCTGTTTAAATAGACTTTAGATCCAGAAATTTTTTATTAATATTACATTAGAAGAAGCAGGTCCAAGAAATACTAAAGACTTGGCATTGATTACAGTAAATTTCTTCAGTCTAATCTGCTGGACAAAACTTTTATCAAATAAATCCCCAATATATTGGACCCATTGTCTTAACATGTAGGGCTTTACTTATCATTAAATTATAATTTAGGTTATGGGAATATTATTAACAAGTTCAGGAATATTATTAACAAGTTCAGGTATATAATACCTGAAATACTAAAGAAAGTGTTTATAAAATCTTTTTTTTTTTTTGGTAAGGCAGTAGGGGTTAAGTGACTTGCCCAAGGTCACACAGCTAGTAAGTGTCACATATCTGGAGGTGGATTTGAATTCAGGTCCTCCTGACTCCAAGGCCAGAGCTTATAAAGTCTTTTAAAAGTAACAGAATGGTGGGGGGGGAGCAGCTAGATTGCTTAGTGGATAGAGCAGCAGCCCTGAAGTCAGGAGGACCTGAATTCAAATGTGGCCTCAGACACGTAACACTTACTAGCTGTGTGACTCTACCAGTTTTGTTTAGAGACTATGCCATGTAATTGGGTTATCAGTGTATTGAGTTAGTATATCAATACACTTATCTAACAGGTCACCCAGAAGAGTCAACCCAGCAGAACAAAGCTGCTCCTTGCCACCAAAACTTCTCTCTTTAAACTAGTTTTCTCCCAATGACGCTGTGAAAATTGCAGGTCTTGAAACGCTGTGATTTCTAAAAAAAAGGTATTCTGGGTAACATAATAGGGCCTCTGGGTGGAAGTCAGTGGGGCTACAGATACATGGTGGGAATAAGTAAGCTGAAACCTACTTAACCAGCACACAAGAAGTGACAGAAATGATATCATTAGGAAATAGAAGATTGTAAAAAGATGGGGCCAGTCACGTGGTCAGAAGAAAAGATAACAGGTAGACAACTTGAATGTTGCAGTGGCATCATGATACAGATCATGGATAGATCTTCAGTGAAAGATCGGTAGAAGAAAAATGAAGAATCACATAGCACAGGAAAGGATCAACAGGTTGCAGTCAGTCTTTTTTTTTTTTAAGGGAATTGGGATTAAGTGACTTGCCCAGGTCACACAGCTAGTAAGTGTCAAGTGTTTGGTCTGAGGTCAGATTTGAACTCAGGTCCTCTTGACTTCAGGGCCAGTGCTCTATCCACTGCACCACCTAGCTGCCCCTGCAGTCACTCTTGATGGAAGAAATCTCATATTGATGGATTCCTGGAGTGTTATCTAAGATTCTCCTTCATTGAAGAGATCAGATGCCTCATCAAAGTAGGGAGGTGATCTTTCAGGCTTTTCAAAGGCTATGCCAGTGAAGATCAAGCATTAGAAGGTACTAATCAAGCAGAGAAGGCTTAGAATATAATATGGTCCTAGAATGAATTGTTTATATGGACCTAGATATATCTGGATAGAGATAGATCTATATCTGAGTTCGTATACCAGTACATAATGTATATCAATACTTTAGTACTTTATATCTAGATATAGTTATATCTGAAATCTGAAATCAAGACGAAAAGTTATACGTACACACATACATACATACATACATGCATTTATATATACGTGGCCTTTGTCAAAAGGCTCATCATCAGACGGCCTCACAGTAACAGATTTTTTTATTCCAGTAAGTCCTGAAGACAGGTATTTAGATGGGTTGTAATGTAGTCAGTGGAGGAAATACCCACCTCAAAGAAATCAAGGACCTTTAAAGTACTGGAGGTATTTAAAAACCTCATGCTCTATATTTAGTAAATTGTTGTTGTTGTTGTTGCTGCTGTCGTGTGTCCTTCATTCTCAGACAGGACCATGACATCAGGGAGGTGATGCCCTGACATGCAAGTGAATTGGATTTAAGTGAGGGAGGGCTGTGCACAGTCACCAGCATCATTCTCTCCTCTGGAGCCATCTGGGTCCAGGAGGCAAGATGTAGATCAAGAAGACCAGACATGGCCTTGGAAGCAATAGGAGACTGTGGCCTTTTTAAAGAACAAATGTTAGTTTGACTGAGGCAACACCTGTTCAGTGATTAAGGCTAGGTAAGAAATGAGATAGAAAATGGCCTATTTACCCAGTCAAAAAAAACCTCAACACACCATCAATCTGGGAGGGGAAAACCCTCAGGGTTTCTAGCCAAAATAGAAACAATTGCTATTTACATTCACTCTGAGCCAATCAGAGTGATTTAGCTATTTAATGAATTACATTTAGGATATATGGATATTATTAATCACACTAGTATTTATTTCAGGAAAATTGTGTAACACATGAAATACTGAAGAAAGTGTGTCCCTCAGAGGCTGCTCTTGTAAAAGATCCTAGTGTGCAATGTAAAGTTAGATTCAGGTAATATTCATGTATTCATTTACTTCAAGATTGAATAAAAATAACAGAGCCACTAATCTGATGCCAAACAACTAACTTTTAGTCTTTTTTCAGATTTGGTGGCAAGAACTTTCCTCCTTTTATTGTGTTTAAAATTTTTCTTCACACTGGAGGCCATGGGAACAAGTATTTCAGTGGAAAAAATACATTGAGGCCATCGAGTGAGGTGACTTACTAAGATATCCTTTTTTGTTAATCCATCTTAGAATCATAAATTGATAGGTCAGTTATGTTGGAAACGGTTTTTAGAGGTCATCAGGGCTCATCATTTTGCCAGTAAGGGTATTGAGGACCAGAATACTTAAGTGACTTAACCATGGATGGTCACATCTCTAGTGTGGTAGGAACAATATCTTCTATGTAGGCTATGCAGATCTTTTTTCCCTACAAGGCAGGGAAATTGTCCTAAGAACTAAAGACATGAGGATTAAGCTGTTGAAGAAGCTTCCTGTTTTGTACATAAAGTCCTTCAGACTTCATGGTTGTCTCACTGTTGTGTGAGTCCCCACAGCCAACATAACCTGATGACCAGACTTCCCCCCTACATGTTAAACTGTTTGACCTTCAGAGCCCTTCATAACCTGGCCTCTTTCCCCTACTTTTTTTTATACTGTCCCCTCATCCCCCCCTACCCTAATCACATCCAGGATCAAATACAAAATCCTTTATTTGGCATTCCCAGCCTTTCATAACCTACTCCCTACCTTTCCAGTCTTCTTCCACCTTACATATCCTCCAGTGACACTGGCCATCCTTACTGTTCCTTGAATAGGACTCTACCATATCTCTAGCATTTTCCCTGGCTGTCTCCTGTACCTGAAATGCTCTCCCTCCTCATTTCTGTCCCCTGGCTTCCCACACTTCAAGTCTCAGCTTAAATCATACCTTCTAGAGGAATACTTTCCAAACTCCTTATAATTCTAGTGCCTTCCATCTTTTAATTATTTCCTATTTATCCTGCACATACCTTGTTTGTACATATTTATCTGCTTGTTGTCTCTGCTGTTCAATTGTAGCCCTTAAGGGCAGGGATTGATTTTTGCCTCTTTTTGTATCCCCAGGACTTAGCACAGTACCTTACCTATAGTAGATGCTTAATAGATGTTTATTGACTGACTGATCTGACTACCTCAACCAGTGCTGGATCCTTGTTGAGCATCCTTTGAATGCTATGGCTAAGTAAAACTCCCTTTGTGGAATTTTAGATGGCCAACAAATATCCTGTTTTGTTCCAGTCCTGAATCTGAAGAATCAAGCCCAGCCTATAAAATTTGACAATAGTTGGTAGGATTGAAACAAAATGAAACACAAAATGAAATTGTTAGATATAGGCCATCTAACAGTTAATAAGAAGATAATTTATGATAACATTGCAAGGATACTCAGCAGAATATAGCATAATTTTATGTAGATGTATTCTCCCTTATCTCCTTATATAAACATGCCTCAGTAGAATGTGTTAGGTATAATGTCTTGCGTGACATTCGGTTGGCCACTGAGTCTGAACAGTCCTTCCTGGGTTGGTCTTTTATGTCCTAGGCAACCAGGAAACCTCTCAATAATTTAAGCCTTAGTCCCCATAACCAATCACGTCTCAGGACAGCTTCCCTGTCTTTAAGAGAAAAAAACCATAGACTTGTCTTGTTCGGTCGTGTCCGACTCTTTATGACCCCTTTTGGGGTTTTCTTGGCAAAGATACTGGAATGGTTTGACATTTCCTTTTCCAGCTTATTTTACAGTTGAAGAAACTGAGGCAAACAAGGTTAAGTGACTTGCCCAAGATTACACAGCTAGTAAGTGTCTGAGGCCAGATTTGTACTCGAGAAGATGAATCTTCTGAGTCTGGGCCTGGCACTCTATCCATTACACCACCTAGCTGCCACAGACTAGTCTATATGGCAGATATTGTTCCTACCACACTGAATTTAAGGGTTCATGCAATAAATTATGAATGTAGTATGTAAGTTAATTCACAATTAATGATTACACTTGAACATCATGTTTCAGCTTTTTAGGTTAAAGAGTTTTAACTCATTTGGTAAATAATTGAGAAAACATTTTCTACATAGACTAGTTTTGCAAAATCGAAATTACTTGTCTAATCAAAAATGTCTAAAAGGATCTTGTAATATCTTTATTGAAACAGTATATATACATATGTGTGTATCTTATGTATATGTGTACATATGTATATGTACACACATATATAGATAGATACACACACATATATAAATTCTGGTTCTAGCTTCTGTCCTGCATGATAGTAAAAAGAACATCATACTGGGAGACCAGAGATCTTTCTTTATCTCTGATCTGTTACTGCTCTGTTTTGTGACCTTAAGCAAATCACTTCTCTCCAGGCCTCAATTTTCTCATTTGTGAAACAAAGAGATCAGATTAGATGATATCAGAATCCCTTTTCAGTTTTATTTTTAAATGTGATGCATCAGAGCAAATGTCTCTTAAACAGTGGTTCTTTAAGAACTCTAGAATTTTTAAGTTGTCCACTAGCTCAGTTCTGTTGGAGTGGCAGTAGAAAAATGCTTTTATAAACTGTTTCAAAGATGTTGTTTTTCTGTGTTAATGTTGCAAAAATGTTTTCCTTTTGAATAACCAGCTTGTGGAAGAAAAGGATGGATTATATTGACATGAACTCTCTAAGTCATATGGACACATCATAATAACAAAAATTGTTGCTGCTATTTGTGAATTTTTTATTTGCTGTTCCCTTTTACAGGCAGTGGTTGATGCTTGCAAACTAATGGGAAATCGGAAATATTATGACCAAATAATACAAGACCAACTTCAATTCCAAAAGTATAAAGTTGCTGATGAAGTTGATGTTGTTACCATGAAGGATTACATGCACGTAAGGATTATTTTCAGTATTTTAGATATTAATGAGAAAGACTTCCCTTCATCCTGTGTCTAAGAGAAAAAAACATCATATATTGGAATAATTCATATTAATTCTGTGTAATGTGATAAGACTTTAAAAAAAGAAACTTAACTTATTTTTATGTTCATTCTGTATATAATTCTGTATCTCATAAATTCTGTACTCATGTATTCATGTAATTCAAGTAGCTGCATGAGAATTATGTACAGAATCTTGATTTATAGAACCAAAGAAATAGAAGACAAAATTTCAAACTCCTTTTATCAGTAATGTGAAAACTTAATCAGAATAAACATGACAGTCCATGAAGAATCATAACTTAAGAGTCATGAAAAAATTTAGCTAGAATGTACCTTAGAGATCTCCTAGTCAAACCCCTTTGTTTGTTTGCTCCTTTAGAGGAGTAAATGGAGAACCACAGAAGTTAATGTACTGTATGTAATTCCTTTGTGTTTACTGAATTTTCATTTTCTCTTTACTGCCTTTATTTCAAACAAGATGCCATGAACACATAATTATTAAAACTTTATTGAGGGTTAAGAGTTTTGTATAATTTATATTACTGATAAGGCCAGTAGTTGCCACTGTTGATTTTATGTACTAAAGAATCATTGAACCTTTTCTCTCTGTATATCCTCTCTCTTGGTGATCTCATCATCTCTTTTGGGTTGAATTATCACCTCTATGTAGATGACTCTCAAAACTCTTATCTCAAATCCTAATCTCTCTTCTTAGCTCTAGTTTTACCTTTGAACATGCAAAACATGGTTCATTATCTTCCTCCCTAAATCTACCCACGGTTACCACAACTCAGTTTCTCCTAGGTACTGCCATCCTTCTCAGTCACTGGGGTTATCAGCCAAAGAGTCATCCTTCTCCTTCACCCCACACTGAGTCTAATCAGTTTCCAAGTCCTATTTATTCTCCTACCACAATGTTTCTAGTTAATATCTCATTCTTTACATTGATAGGGCCACCTTCCTATTTCATACCATCATCATCCATCACCTAGACTACTACAATAGTATCATGACTGGACTCTGCAATTCCATTTTCAGGCCTTGGCAATTTATCCTCCATATAGCTGCCAAATTAGCATTCCTAAAAAGTGGGTATGGCAGCATCACTCCCTCAGTCAAGAAACTTTAGTGAACCCCTATTACCTCAAGAATAACATACTAGCTCCACACATTCACAGTTAAGGACCTTTGTAATCTGACTCTAGTTTACCTCTTTAGATTTATTGCACATCATTCCCCATATGCACTTTGTTATAGGCAGATGGGTTTATTTTCTCTTTCCCCAACTTGACATTCCATCTCCCATTGTTGTTCCTTTGCACAGACCATCCTCCAGGCCTGAAATGTACCCCAATCTTACCACCACCTTCCCTGAACACCTAATTCTTAGTACTCTCTTTTCCTTAATCTACTTATCTGTTTACATGTTGTAGTCTTCTAATAAAACATAAATTTCTTAAATGAAAAAACTTTTTCAGCTCTTATATTTGTATCCCCAGCAGGCAGTTAATAATGAATGATTCCTAGGAAAATATATTGCTCACAGTACAAGTCTAATAATAATAGAAATATATTATTAGATTTACAAATCAGTATATTGCTGTTGATAATAGTTTACTGAATTTTAATGAAGCATTCGACAAAGTATCTGAGATTGTTCTTGTGGACAAGATAATATGGACTAGACAATAGCATAAGAGATGGCTTTGGAATTATTTGAAAGGCCAGACCCAAAGCATAATTACTAATCATGCTATTCCAACTTGAAAAAAGGTCTCTGATAGTGTCCCAGGGATCTGCCCTAGGACTTGTGCTATATAGTGTTTTTATCAGTTACTTAGATAAAGATATAAATGAAGTACTTGACAGTTTTAAAAGTGACACAAAGCTGGATGGGATAGCTAACAAGTTGAATGGCATTCAGGATCTAAAAGGATCTGACTAAAATTTTGGGTCAAATATAATAAAGTATAATCAGCACAAATGTAAAATTACATACTAGAGTTCAAAAAAAATTTCCTTCATGTAAAGCAAATGAATAGATAGTAGATGATCAGAAAAGAGATATGAAGGTTTTAGTGGATTAAAAACTCAATATGAGTCAACAGTGTTTTATGACATCTAGAATAGCTAACACGATCTTAGACTGAATTAAAGTGGACATGATACCCAGGACTAGGGCAGTAATTATTCCACTGTGCCCTTCCCTGGTTAGATTACATCTGTAATATTGTGTTTAGTTTGGGGTATCACATTTAAGAAATGCAATGATAAGCTGGAAAATGTCCAGAGAAGTATGACCAGGATGGTGAAAGGCTCTTACAGTCATATCATATGAGGATTGGCTGTAGAAACTGGCCACTGTTTCGCCTAGAGAAAAGACATTTGGTGAGCCTGTGAAGGAGTCAGGATAGTTATCTGAAAGTATTTGGAGGAATTTCATGTATAATGGGGTGGATAAGACTTATTCTGCTTGGCCCCAGAAGGGAGGATTAGTAGCGGTAGATAGAAGAGGCAGATAAGAGAATCTAGACTTGATGAAAAGAACTTTCTAATAATTAGACTTATCCAGCTCAAAGAATGACTTGCCTCTTAAGGTAGGGTTTCTGCCCTGCCTGGTGAACTTCAAACAAAGGTTGGGTGACCATCACCACTTATTTTTGTTGTAGAGAGAATTTTTGTTCAAGTAAGAGTTCTACTGGATGGCCACTGGATTTTTTTCCAGTTCTGAGAATCTTTGATTCTGTGTTGTGTCATTGTTGAGAATGTGCATGTGAGGGATTAGCACAAGGAACATAGGGAGAGACACACAAAGAAGATAGACTTGAAGAGATGCATAGTATTTTATTTTTCCCCAGTTACATGTACAAACAATTTTTAACATTCATTTTTAAAACTTTGAGTTCCACATTCTCTCCCTCCCTCCCCATCCCCCCATTGAGAAGGCAAGCAATTTGATATAAATTATACATGTGTAGTCATGCAAAACATTCATAATAGTCATGTTGTGAAAGAAAACACAGACAAGGAAAAAAACCCAAGAAAGTAAAGTTAAAAAAAAGTATGCCTCCATCTGTATTCAGACACCATTCATTTCTTTCTCTGGGGATGGATAGCATTTTTCATCATAAGTTCTTTGTAGTTGTCTTGGATCGTTGTATTGCTAACAATAGCTAAGTCATTTACAGCTGATCATCTTACAGTATTGCTGTTACTTTGTACACAGTACATTTCCCGTGCAAGTCTTTCCAGGTTTTGAAAATATTTTGAAATATTTTTAGTTAATTTTAGTTAATTAATTTTTAGTTAATCCAATTTTAATTTTATTTTGAAATTAAATGAAACAAAATGTAAAGTTTGTCTCAGAAAAATTAATCTGAGAACATCTCATGCTCTACAGTTGGTTTATAAAGCACTTCTTCACAACAGTAAGGTAGGCAGGCAGTGAATTATTACCCCATTTTGCCAATGTAATAACTGAGGCTCAAAAAAAGTGTCTTGGGGGCAGCTACGTGGTGCAGTGATAGAGCACCAGCCCTGGATTCAGGAAGAGCTGAGTTAAAATCCGGCCTGAGACGCATAACACTTGCTAGCTGTGTCACCCTGGGCAAATCATTTAACCCTCATTGCCCAACCAAAAAAAAAAATGTCTTGCTCATAGTCACAGAGCTAGTAAGTGTTAGAAACATAATTTGAACCTATGTCCTAACTCCAAGAGTCTTGGACTTCTTTCTACTATATCCCTGCTTGAGAGGGAGGGACAGGAACCAGGCAGTGGAAGGTACAGTTTTGCATTCTACAAGAAAGAGGTAGGGCATATTCTGTAGAGCAATTTGGAACTATACCCAAAGGACTATAAAACCATGCATACCCTTTGACCTAGCAATACCACTACTAGGTCTGTATCCCAAAAAGAGATTAAAAAAAAAAAAGGAAAAGGACCTATTTGTACGGAAATGTTTATAGCAGTTCTTTTCTGGGGGTAAAGAACTGGGTACTCATTCTCTAAGAATGACCTGTTCTCCAAATGACTTATTCAGATATCTTCTGGACTTCAATATGTCAAGAAATAGTACTGCTAGTTACCCTGAACAAAATGGTCAATTAATTTCAGTTCAGCATATATTGAACACCAAATTTGTGTAGGACACTATGTTAGTGCTAAGGGAAATTTAAAAGAAAATAGGATTCCTGGACAAGAAACTTGCTGATCTTGGTGTATCTGTTTTATACAGAGTAGAAATTGTTAAGAAAATCCCACTGAAAATTTAGAGTAACTCCATCAGGTAATTAGTCTTGGTTTTTTGTTCTATAGTTTACCAGTTTTCTGGATGAAACCCCAGCATATCTTGGTGGCAAAAGTAACTGCTGGAGAAGGCTGAGCCTGGAAAACTTTCCAAAGACAATGATAATGTATGACATAATGGATTATGCAACATCTGGAACACTCTCAGATCGTCTGCAAAAAGAATTGAAGTATCTGTTGCAAAAACCAAAATCTAAAGAGATGCACCATGACCAGCTCCGGATTGTTTCTCAAGTTAGGTAAAAATGATTTATTATAATTTAACTATAAGTGAAATAAATGTTTAGTTATTCTAATACTCTGTATTTAAAAAAGAACTAGTTCTCTTAATATGAATCTCCTATAGGTTATCATTTAGGAGTTTTTTTTAGCAAGTCTTGAAGGTCTCATGGCTTTTTAGCACAAAAATATTGCTGACTTATAGAAGTGGTATTTTAGCCCTTCTCTTTACAAGGTCAGCTGACACCCACTTCTCAATTACTTTCTATTACAAGTAACCTTTTTTACATTTTACCAAGGTTTTATTTTTAAAAAATGTTTTTATTACAAACTTGTTAACCATCAACATAAATAATCATCTCACCTCCATCTCTTAGCTTCATTGGCTTCCTTCAAGACTCAGCTCAAATCTCACCTTTCTGCAGGAGGCCTTTCCCACTCCCACATCAGATCTTCCCTCTGAAGGTAATTACCTTCAATCCATGATTGATAGATAGATGGATAGAGAGACAGACAGACAGACAAACAGTCATGTATATTGTCTATCAATCTGTATAGACATGGATATCTTGTATGCACAAAGTGTTTTACATGTCATCTCACCCCTTAGAATTTGAACTCATTGAGGACAGAGACTGTGTTTTTGCCTTTCTTTGTATCTCTAGTACTTAGCATAGTGCCTGGTGCTTAGTAGGTACTTAATAAATGCTTGTTGACTGACTGACTAATATGTGAAGTACAGGGGTAATAATGCATAAAATCCTTAGTGTTTGGCAAGATACAATGAAATGAATGAATAAACAAAATATTTTTTGTGTTCTCTTCCATATTAGTATGAAGTTCTGCTACAAATTTTCTGTTATTCCCTTAGAGATTATAGAAAGCTGCCACACGGTTTTTTGGTTGGACCAGTAAGAAATCAAAAGGTTTCCTAGCCCTCTAAAAGCTCTTTGCTCCTAAAGCACTGCCTTGCATCACCAGTGGCTCTCTGGCAGTTGCTACTGAAAGAATATTGCCAAAGCTCCATTTAAAGCTCTCATTGTATTGTCATCTGAGGTTACAAGAACAAAATATAGCAGTTCTAATTTTTTTCTCCAATGACTGTTAAGCCCATCTCATTTACCAATAGTCAGAGAGGAGGGGTATAGTGGAGAAAGGTCCAACCTTGGTTGGATTCAGGAAGACCTTGATTTAAGTCCCTGTTTCTGATATATACTAGTTTTGTAGCTATGGACAAGTCACCTAACCTTTAAGTGCTCCCAGGGAACTATTAAAGACTACAAGTTGTCCATCTTTAGAGGGAATTTTCTTTTTTCTTTTCTTTTTTAAAAAATTTATTTTTTGTTACATTTTGCATTCCAAGTTTTTTCCCTCCATCCCTCCCAACCCCACATTAGAGAAAGTCAACATTTGACGTGTGGGACTATACAATACACGTTCTTTTGGTTCTACTTGTTTGACTGCATTATTTAATGCAATTCTTTCCATGTTTTTCTAAAACCAACCTGCTCAGGGTTGTTTTAATTTTCATTTCTCTAATAATGATTTAGAGCATTTTTTCATATGACTACATAGAGCTTTGATTTCTTCATCCCTAAACTCTCTCTGATCATTTATCAATTGGGGAATGACTCATAATGTCTTATAAAATTGGCTCAGTTCTCTATATATTTGAAATATGAAGACTTTGTCTGAGAAATTGGCTATAAAAATTCCCCCCCCCCATTTTCTGTTTTCCTTCCAGTCTTGGCTACATTGGTTTTATTTGTACAAAACCTTTTCAGTGTAATGTAATCAAAAGCAGCCATCCCATAATGCTTGTTCTCTTATTATTCATAAATTCTTCTCTTATCCATAAATCTGATAGGTAATATATTCTATACTCTTCTAACTTACTTATATCTCCCTTTATGTCTAGGACATATATCTACTTTGACTTTATGTTGGTAAACAGTGTAAGATAATTGGTATTTACCTTTAGTCTTCTGCCAGATTGCTTTCCAGTTTTTCCGGCAATTTTTACTAAATAGTGAGTTCTTATCCTCAAAGCTCAGATCCTTATGTTTATCAAATACTAGGTTACTATAATAATTTACTACTATGTGTTGGATATTCTCTGTTCCACTGATCCACCCTTCTCTCTTAGCCATAGTTTTGATACTCATTGCCTTATACTACAATTTAAGATCTGGTACTGCTAGCCTTCCTTTTCCTTTATGTTTTAAAAAATTAATACCTTTGATATTCTTGGCCTTTTGTTCTTTCAAGTGAATTTGTTATTATTTTTTTCTAGCTCAATAAAATAATTTTTGGTAGTTTAATTAGGATGGCACTGAATAAGTAAATAAGTTTAGGTAGAATTGTCATTTCTGTTATTTTGGCTGGGCCAATCATTATTTCTACAGTTATTTAAAACTGATTTTATTTATATAAAAATATTTTATAATTATGTTCATATAATTCTTGGATTTGTCTTGGCAGATATACTCCCAGGTATTTTATATTACCTATGGTTATTTTATTTGTTTTGTTTTTGCTAGGCATTGGGGTTAAGTGACTTGCCCAGGGTCACACAGCTATGCCGGATTTGGACTCAAGTCCTCCTAAATCCAGGGCCAGTGCTTTATCCACTGAGCTACCTAGCTGCCTCCCTTCTATGGTTATTTTAAATGAAGTGTCTTTTACTATCTCTTCTTGCAGGGCTTTGTTGGTGATATATAGAAATGCTGATGATTTATGTAGATTTATTTTATATTCTGCTACTTTATTAAAATTAGTTTTAACTGGCTTTTTAGTTGAACCTCTAGGATTTTCCAAGTTTATCATCATATCGTCTGCAAAAAGACATCAGAAAAAGGAAACAAAACAAAAGGGAAGAGGAAAAAATAGCAAATAGTATGCTTTGATATGCATTCAAACTCCATAGTTCTTTCTTTGGATGTGGATAGCATTTTCCATCATGAGACCTTTGGAGATTTCTTAGATCCTTGCATTGCTGAGAAGGGCTAAGTCTATCAACATTAGTCATTGCATAGCATGTCTGTTAACTGTGTACAACATTCTCCTGATTCTGTTCACTTCACTCAGCATCAGTCCATACAAGTCTTTCCAGGTTTTTCTGAAGTCTGCCTGCTCATCATTTCTTATAGCACAATAGTATTCCATTACATTCATACATGACAACTGGTTCAGCCATTCCCCAATTGATGGGCATCCCCTCAATTTCCAATTCTTTGCCACTACAAAAAGAGCTGTTATAAATATTTTCGTACATGTGGGTCCTTTTCCCATTTTTATGATCTCTTTGGGATATAGCCCTAGAAGTGCTATTGCTTGGTCAAAGGGTATGCACATTTTTATAGCCCTTTGGGCATAGTTCCAAATTGTTCTCCAAAATGGTTGGATCATTTCACAGCTCTACCAACAATACATTAGTGTTCCACATCTTCTCCAACATTTATCTATAGCTAGAATTTCTAATACAATATTAAATAATATTGGTGATACTAGGCAACCTTGTTTCACTCCTGATCTTACTGGGAAGGCTTCTAGCTTATCTCCATTACAAATAATGTTTCCTAATGGTTTTGGGTAGATGCTTCTTATCATTTTAAGAAAAAATCCATTTATATCTCTGCTTTCAAGTATTTTTTGTTTTGTTTTGTTTTGGTTTTGGCTGGGCAGTGGGGTTAAGTGACTTGATCAGGCTCACACAGCTAGTAAGTGTCAAATGTCTGAGGCCAGATTTGAACTCCAATTCTTTTGACTTCAAGGCTAGTGCTCTCTCCACTGCGCCACCCATATGCCCCATGCCTTCAAGTATTTTTAATAGGAATGAGTGTTGTATTTTATCAAAATCCATTGATATAATCACATGATTTTTGTTACTTTTGTTATTGACATAATCATTTATGTTAATAGTTTTCCTTATGTTAGACCCATCCCTGCATTCCTATATAATTCACAATGTATAATTTTTGTGATATATTATTATAGTCTCCTAGCTAGTATTTTATTTAGGATATTTGCATCAATATTCATTAGTGAAATTGGTCTATAAATTTCTTTCTCTGATTTTACTCTTCCTGGTTTAGGTATCAGCACCATATTTGTTTCATAAAAGAAGTGTTATAGGACTCCTTCTTTGCCTATCATTCCAAATAATTTATTTAATATTGGAATTAGTTGATCTTTAAATATTCAGTAGAATTCACATTAAATCCATGTGGTCCTGATGCTTTTTTTCTTAGGAAGCTCATTTTTGGCCTGTTCAATTTCTTTTTCTAAAATACATTTATTTAGATATTCTATTTCCTCTTCTGTTAATCTGGGTAGTTTATATTTTTGTAAATATTCTTCCATTTCGCTTAAAGTGTTAAATTTATTCACATACAATTGGGCAAAATAATTCCTAATAATTGTTTTAATTTCATCTTTCTTAGTGGTATATTCGCTCTTTTTATTTTTGATACTAGTGATTTGGTTTTCTTCTCTCTTTTTAAAAATCATATTAACCAATGGTTTGTCCATTTCAGTTCTTTCTTTTATAAAACCATCTTTTACTTTTATTTTTTATTCAATGGTTTTCTTAACATTCAATTTATTCATCTCTTCTTTAATTTTCAGGATTTCCAATTTGGTGTTTAATTGGCGATTTTAATGCGTTCTTTTTTCTAGGTTTTTTTAAAATTGTATACCCAGTTCTCTTTTTTTATTGATGTAAGCATTTAAAGATATAAAATTTTCTCTGATTATTGCTTTTGCTGCATCCCATAAATTTTGGTATGTTGTCTCATTATTATAATTTTCTGTAATAAAATTTTTTATTGTTTCTATGATTTGTTCTTTGGCTCACTCATTCTTTAAGATTAGGTTGTTTAGTCTCCAATTAATTTTTAATCGCTGTTCCCATGGTACTTTATTAAATATAATTTTTATTGCATTGTGATTTGACAATGATGGACTTAATATTTCTGCTTTTCTGCATTTGACTGTAAAATTTTTATGCCCTAATATATGA